GTGTGTGTGTGTGTGTGTGTGTGTGTGCGCGTGTGTGTATGTGTGTGTGTGTGGAGAAAGCAAGACCTTCCTTTACGACCGTAAAAGAGGAACAAAAACACTTAAAGTTAATTATTTACTCGGACTATCAAGGCGACGTCCTCCTACCTCCCGGGGCATTTTATCACTGGGTGACGCCGCATGAAGATGAATTCGGAAGAGATAGAGGCTTGCTTCAGCGTTCTTCAATACGTTTAATAGATTAAATTGTTAACGAATATTGCACTATGTGCCCCACATATAAGCTTAACGATATAAATATGAAGCACATTAATTTATCATGTTTTGAAATGTGAAAGTGCCTTTATATAAATTTTGATTGGACGTAATAAGCCTAAGGAAAATCTGCCATATTACATTTAATAATATGACCTATGCCTTTGACAAAATCTTGGATTACGTTTAAACGAAGCCCGCTTTTTACACGGATTGCGTTTAAACAGAGAATCCGCTCAAGGTGAGAATACATGCTTTTGGAATGGGCTGAGTGGTTTTTGTTCAGAACATTGAACTTGACCCCACTTCTGCTGGACTGGTCTGTACGATTATTTTATTCGTTTTTCTTTTCCTCCAGAAACTCCAGTTCTACATTTGAATGTTATTTTGGTATCCGATTAATTTCCGGTTTGAAATTTTACATCCCCGCACAAACATAAACAAATCCAAAGGACCAAAGGAGCCGAACTGGGAAGATTGCCTCTACACCTGACTGTTCCCGTATCCCGGCAAGGTTATCATGCGTAAGCGTCGGAAGATGTTCTGGATGCATTGCACGTAGATTACAACTTCGTTGCTGTATTTTTAAAAATGCTTCAATAAATATATGCAATTCATGTTGGCAGGATGTAAATTGCGACGGGGTCCACATTCGGCTAGATTCAAGAGATCCTTCTCTCTCTCTTACGGCACGGCTACGGACTCGGAGTCTTTACTGGACGTTACTGAGTGACACTGTCTTTACGCAATCTGAGAATCTCATTACTTTTTTCTGTCAGTGGTGTAGTACTAGAATCTAGATCTAGAGTCTAGACAAGAGTAAGAATTCAAGACTCGGCAGGTTACCAGAGTTGTTACGTACGTACTGATACATACATTGTTTCAGATTCGTCTTTTATATCTTACAAGCTGGGCCCCCTTTCGATGAAAGGAACGATCGGTGCTTTAATATCAACTAAAAGTCATTGGCCTACTATATTTACACTCTACTGGAATGGGGCAATAAATCTTGAGAGATTAAAAAAATTATAAGGTCTAGATCTAGATTAGATCTATCGAAGTGATTATTCGGACTCGAGTCCGAATATGAAAAAATGTTATTCGGACTCTGATTCTTGTCCAGCATGACATCACTTCCGACTTCCGACTTCCTGTGACTCGTGACTCCGGCTTCCTGTCCTGCCTCACTCGTGACTCGCCTCAGGCTGGGTAGAGACCGGGATTACTTCGGGCAAAAAGGCGTTTTGTGCAGGATCCGAGTTGTTATCTTTTATGATGAATTTGAGGCCGGCCTGAAAAGTTATAGCGCTTCTAATAAATTTTTATTTGTCAAGAGATCATCAGAAGCAATTAAAGATGGCTCGTTAGCGTGTGTCGGGGTCGGATGGGCGGCCTGCACACGTGTGGCTGTGTGCGTGTCAGGGAGGGGGGGGGCACTATCGGTCCGGGCGTTGAACGTCACATACGCGTCAGTCTTTTTCCCCCTGACAACTGATCATTATTACAATAATAAGCTAATCTTGATGTAGATCTACGGAATGAATTGTGCGCTGGTCTATGGAATCAAAAGTTGCCGTACATGCTCAGCTCTACACAGCAACACAACTTTTTCTTGGTAAACAATCGAGATGACACAGGCCTGTGTATTTGAACGAATCGGTCTTTTTTTTTTACACAGCTCATAATATGCAGGTGCCAGGTCGTCTGCTAATCTTCAATTTTACCTTTTTCTACAACAAAGAAAGTGGGAAACATGGGGGGTGGGGTGGGGGGGGGCGTATCAATGAGGCGGCGGGCATCGGATCGGCAGAAAAGGTGTGGGGGAAACTAAAAAATGGCCGAAAATTGGAAGCACTGAACGTTAGATCTATAGAACGAAGACACTTCCTTTTTTCCGGACCCGAATCTGAATAACATTTTTTCATATTCGGACTCGAGTCCGAATAACGATGGCCAAGGCCTAGATCTATACTCTCAAAACAAAATGCGCCTCGCGAAATATCACTTCCGGATTTTCTGAAATTACAAAGACAGAAGCGTCGGCCTACAAAAGCGATCGGCGAAATAAAGAAATTTAGCTTTTAGCAGCAGCAAAACTGTCTCTAAATTGAAAAAACCAAGGGCGCCATGCTTTGGAGAATATTTTAAAGAATCTTTTGGCGAAAACCGCATGTCGATCGATGCAGCCATTAAAAAGCCTTTTGAATAGCAAGATTCCGCCACCGCAAATAGATAATAGATAATTTCGAGCATGGTTTTTTGACTCACTCATTCATTCATACGGTCATTCATTAATTATTCATTCATGTATCTAATCATTCTTTCATTCAGTCATTTGATTTTCGTTTATTCATACGTTTGTCCTTTCGTGGCTCCATATCGTTTGGGTCTATTGAGTTGTTTCAGTTTAAAAATAAGATACTTTTAAAAATATTTAATCAAATCTTGATACTGAATAAGAATATAATCCTTTTTTTATTATTAATAATATATTGTAACGAACTTGACCCTAGCCGTAGATTCGGAAGTATGCTACGAACTCAACAACTTCTACCAGTTTCCTAATCAAAGTTATTAATAAAACTGGACAGCCCAAGTCAGTCAGTATAAAAGCCAAAACCATACCTGTCTTATCTATTGAGTTGCAAACCTCAATGTGCCAATGCCAGGCGAGGTAGTCGCAAAATAGCAAATTTCAGACTTTGACTTTGAGGATCAATTTGTTTGATAGGGAATCTAACCCAATGACACTCTGACCCAAATTGGATTATGATTCACGCTTAAAGGCACTGATATCGGTTATCATGCAACAAAGCGACATACCTCATTGCTTCAACAGAAAAGAGAACTCTTATTCTACTTTTAACTTGGGGCAACAATGCCGTAAGGGCTTTTGTGGCAAAAGTACGCTCCGATTTCAGAGTAACATTGCCACATGAGCTCTTATCGCAACGTTACACCGAGCAAAATTGCGACATGTGCGATCTTTCTCAATTTCCTCGACAATTTAACCGTGAAATAAAATGACGTTGGTAGCATATCGTGCCATGTTAGGGCCACATTAACATATATATATATATTAGACCTGCATGTTTGCCTACAATCGTATGAAATCCGACAATCGCGCCCCGACCTGCGATCCGGCCGATGCTATCGCTAGGCCCACCTGTATTAGTCAATGTGCGAAGTGTGAGTCCTGGCTGATTGTGTCGTCATTATCTATGCAAATCTATTGTGTTACAGCTGTTCCTGCGTGTTTATTTTAGTATTCATGTGGTATCTGCTTTCTTGCAAATCTTGGTGGTGCCATCTATTTCTATGAATAATTTGATTGCCTGCATTTTCTCTTCATTACGTGCTATCATCATCATCATCATCCCAATAATGTTTGCTGTCTCAATTTCTGTTTTAGTCAGACATCTGAAAAGCTTGACTCAAGTAACTCTTCAAAGTTTTGGCTCTGTGCTCGAACACTGAAGCCCTGAAAACTCACAGCTTCTACTGATGGCGTCCAATGGTGATGTGGTCCTGTTGTATGCACACCCCTCTACGCAGAACTTAGCCCGACAGATAGCAGAGGGCTGCTGTAATGGTACGGGTGTAAGCGATACCAGTGGCCCATCACTTGGTGCAAGCCTGTCAGGGGACGTCCAGAAGAAACGTGTGGTAAATGATGGCATCCTTGCTGCTGGCTCGAAGCATGTATGTTTTGCTGTGCATTGCACTTTACACCCTTTATTTTTTAATCTCTTCTTTGACCTAGTCTGTATGACATAGTAGACAACATAACTGTCTAACATGTTGCTTCTTTTCAAAATCAGGTTTTTCTATATTAACAGTATACATTGACATTCTCCCAAAAGTATGTACTGAAAATCTGGTTCCGCATTGTCTAAAGACGAATAATAGCTTGTTTTATATTTGTTTTAGTAGAGGTTTTACGGCGCTCACAACTGCATAAGGTCATATGAGCGCCAAGGGGTGGATGTCAAAAGAGAAGTCCTTACAGGGAATCAGACTTACACTGCTTTGATAGGTCCTGGTGATTTTAGTTTAAACGAACTTCACGGTATTAAAAGCAGAAAATGCCCATGGAAGATTTTGTAAATCAAACAGTATCCAGCTCAAGTTTGATCCCAGTCAGTTGTTTTAGACTGTACTACATTGAAAGAGCAGGAACATGTAAGACATTATGTGAATGTCACATATATTATAATTATAAGTTAAAAGGTTAAATAGCTTTGTTTCCATTATTCCCTTACAAGGCTCACTAAACTCCAATCTGTGTATTGTCAGAATTACCTTTGCCAAATGTAGAATTGGTTGCTTCTTATGACACATAATGATAATTCTCAAAGAATAATATAGACTGTCTATATGAATATTTTAAATTTCCACTTACTGCTTTAACCATTATTTTTGTGTGAAAAATTCCACTTTTATTATACTTAATGTGTATAGCAAATGCTTTTAGTGGGATGAAAATTTATTTAGTTGTTCATTTTCCATCACAATGAATCTCAATAAGTCTTTGGTCAGATACCACTGGGTCTTGAAAGTAAGCTTCCTTTTCTACGTTCTCAATAAGAGTTACCGGTAGACCGTTATGCCGGTGGTGTGAAAAACCTGTGCAATCAAATGTACATACACACGTATGGTTTTGAAGTGAGTACAACGCTGATGGACATTGAGGCTTTTATCCTGCCACTTTGATTTAGCGGTATGTGTCCTACTTTAAATGTGGACTGCTCTGAAATTATTTAGACTTCTTGTATTCTAGAACAGTAAAACGTTTTTGTCTTTTGATGCCTTGTTTTACTAGTGCTTACTAAGATATGAAATTAATTCTCAAAGAGTTACCATTAAAAATCTCTTGCTACAAAAAGGTGTTATTGTGGAGAAAGTTCTTCTTAATTTAATTATATTTTTATTCATAACAAGACTACTCTTCCTTGAAAAGTTAGAGACCGCAGAGACTAAGTGCAACAGACGTGTATGTGTTTGCTCTGTTTTGGTATTTTTCAATGTTGTGTAAAAAAATTTCTGGTAAAATATTTTTTGAAGAATTCTTGCTTCAGCCTTATGATTTCAGGTAACTTGCCTCTTCTCATGAAGTTTTACTGGTAATCATCTCTTCTGCTTGCTTCCCAAATGTGTGTTATCCTGGGCTTCCCAAGCTAATTTGAGATGTAGTTGTTTTGGGGTTTTTTTTTGCTGTATTGTAGAAGGCTTTTACTGCCTATTTCAACGCACACACCTCACTTTAACATGGTGGTCTGTTCTCTAATGATCTGCATGGCTGCTAGATGTCTTTCGAAGTTACTGTTCTGACTTAACATGCTTATAGTGTGTGGGCTCACAATTGACCTGTGTAAGAATGAAAGAAGCTATACTTTTAACTCGCGTTGGAGAGCACTAGGAAAAATTTGTTCCTTTCATTTCTTGTTTTTATTTGTTTTTTAAAACGCAGAATACTCTAAATCAATTAGTGTTATAATGTCCAACTGCTTTCCTTTTAGATATCAACTTTTAATATTTAATGTTTGATATTCCGGAACATCTATATGTATACATACATGAAAGGATTAGCCGTGTGTGTTTTACTTGTCAGAAGGGGTTATTGTGCTTACAGCAGTTTCTGTTTAACCTGAAGCGGTTTAACACAAAATTCCTGTTACCTGGAAAGGATTTCAAACGCAAAGTCTACTTAATATAAAGAAATTTTCTGGTCACATGAAGTTCATGTTCTCAGGGTTTTACCATATTTCTTTTTTTAACATAGGCAAGAGATAAGGGGTGTATAAGGGTTCTTAGGAAAATGGGGGCTGGGTTGGGTTATCTGCAAGTGCAGTTCCTTAGAAATGCCAGATGTTTTTGGGATGTGCGTAAATAAGATACAAACCAAGCAAACCAGCCTGCCTCTTGGAAATATCTCCTTGATTATTCAAAAAAACTAAAATGATGAGATCGGGTCCTGACAGAAAACACTGGGCTTTATGTGTGTTTTTATTTGCTGTTAAAGACTTCTATCAATTGGCTCCAGGCTTCGTTTATTTCGGTGCTATCAAGCTGTGAATGCATTATGGTAGCTAGTAAGCAGTGTGAAGCTTGTAATCTTTCATTTATTTTTACCTGAAACTTTAAATTTCAAATCAGTTTCAAAATTTGTGTCGAGATTGGGTTGATGTTTGCAGACTTTAAATTGGACTGCTTTGGTATTTTACAAGTTGTTGTGTTAAAATCCTGTACAGCAAGTCGGTCTTACTTTTATACCTTTCTGTCTTGGCTCCCCCAAGAGAGTGTAGACTCAATTCTCACCAACAGGAGTTGCAGCTGTTTAGTTAATGAAACAATGCACAAGTGTGCTCAGGGGTACATATGTGATATTAACTTTTGTGTTTCATTTGGGGTTTGGTTGTTTTTTTCAGTTCCCCCTCCTATCCTCTTTTATCTAACTTTTAAGCTTGAGGTCCAACCTTTGAAATGATATACGTGTCAATGCCAACTTGAGTTAAAAGACAGATGCAACTTCGCACAAAGATGGAGATACTTGATGAAGATTCTCCCCTCATAGGAATCAAACGCACGTCTGACTAAAATTAAACCAGGCCAGATATCCTAAGGGAAGACGTAATGTTCTGTCTTTGAAACTACTGACTCCTCATTATACAGTATTGATGTATAAATTCAACGACTGAAACAGCTTTATTATTTCTTGCACTTTGTGACCTTCGCTTTATTTATTCATATGTTTAAATTGGGGGGTTCTCTTTTAAAGAGTCTGACCCAAAACCATGCTGTTTCCCGTGTGCTAAAATTTTTGTCTGTAATGCTTTGCCAGAAAATGGAGAGGTCCTTCTCAGCCGTCACGACAGCGCGACATGTCGAGTTCCGCGACACAATCCAGTGGAAGAAGTTTGCAGACGGCTTCCCTAACCTCTTTATTGAGGATGTGAAGTACATGGCAGGCAAAGATGGTGAGTTGTCTCTACTCCAATTTTTGTTATGTCTTTTGGGAGGGAAGGAGGCTGTGGACACAGCATTAGTTCCTTTATGCAGGGCTAAAAGCTACTATTTTGGTACAATTAGACCGAATACGACAACATTTTACTGTGACCTTCAAAAATAAACATTAAATTTTGTTGAAAGGAGTGTAAAATGCTTACAATTACGTTTTTTTCTTATAGGGAAACTACACAACTGTCCATGGTGTAATGATCTTTTGTTTCATCATAGCATGCTGAAAAACATGAATGGGTGGTTGGCTGGTGCTCTTCTGTGGTTTGCTCCTTCTTTCCGATCAATCCTGATCTCTCTTCCCTTTTTTATTCGCATGTTACTGTCTAGTAACACCTCTAATCTTTGGCACGTATATGACCTAATTGTTTTGCAAATGCTGTAAAACTCTCTCTAGAACTTAAACTCACAGAAAATGTGAGTAAGATTCCCAGGTAGGGGTGTTGTTTTTGCAGGGTGTCTCCATCTGTCAGCTGGGGGGGTGCTGTTTCTCACTGAACCGCTACCAACCCTCAAGGGCAGGTTCAAAGCAGCTGGCCTTTTATATGATCTAAATGTGAGGCAGCGTGGTGGAATCAGGCTCTCGTCAAAATAATCAAAGTGAAGAAACTTTCATTTTTCTGCAGGTTTGTGAATTTTTATAAAATTTTTGTTTTCTGGCTCAACATCTTTCATGCCCATTAAAGAACCCATTTCTGTGTGGATTTTTCTGAAAAATGTTGATTAAAGGCACAAAAAATGTAAATTTTCAGTTACCACGGACTCTTAAGTTAAGGAAATAACTAATCTTTGGCGACCATTTTCTCACTAATTTTCCCTGAAAACAAGTGACCCCCACCTCCTTCATTCGCAAATATCTCGACTTGTATTCAAGATAAATGGATATTTTTTTTCGTCCAAATAAAGACAAGTGAACAAGCTTTAAGATGATACCAATAACTGTAAATGCCCAAAAATTGACGAGAGCTTGATTCCACCACGATGCCTCACAAATTGTGTCGATGGGGGCGTAGAAGATGTACACTCATTTTGCGTATGTTTACTGAAGGTCTGGCTGAGAGAAAAGTGTTACCCTTGAAATCCCAAAATGTCAGGCCAGCATTTGACCAGACCTGTAGGGATGTCCCGTTGTTCCTGGTGAAACGTACTCCCCCTCAGCCTGGGTTGGCCCTCACAAGATAGGTCAAAGCCTGCCTACCTCCTTAATGATCTAAGTGTAGAATTGGGGCATAAAACACCTACATTGAAACCCCCCCCCCCATTCCCGATTAAAATACAGGACCTGTGTGTCTAATTTAGGTTGGCAGATGATAAATGGATACAACACTTGACGACCAAAAAAACCCAACAAAAAAATGAAAAAACAAAAACATCAAGACCTGTGTGTGTGTGTTTTAGGTTCATGCAGGGAAAAAGAATTAAACAATTAAGCAGGTGGTTGGCAGATGCTATGGCGTGGTTTGCTCATTTTTTGTCAAACATCTATTGTTCCTTTCTATCCTCCTTCTTTTTCATGTTTGTCACTTTCTTGTTACGCCTCTATATGACCGATTTGTGTTGCAAGTGTTGTAAATTCTTATTAATTACGGTACTCAAAACAACTAATGACTGTCTGAATGTGTAACTGCATGTTGGTTTTTTTTGTTTGTTTGTTTTGTTTTTTTTCTCAGTGATCTTCATTGGCAGCTTCCACTCCCCTGAAGTTGTGTTTGAGCAACTGTCTGTGCTCTATTCTTTTCCCAGGTGAGTGTCGTGGGTGGTTTGAGAGCACCACTGGTAGGTCCTACTTCTTTACTTGTCCTCTGTTGTTTTAATCTGTCTGTCTTACTTTTTCCCAGCACTAAATGACCAATATTGTGTCGATGTGCTTCTCTTTACTCTAACGAACTCCAACCAGGTGAGTGTGTAGAAGTTGGGTTGATTACATCTTGTTGTTTGAAGTGAGATTTTTGTCGCTCCTGTCTCTGCTTAATGGGCTTTTTTTCATTTCGTTTTGTTTCAGGTTTCTTTCAATATATAGTTCAAGTTGTTAGGAGGCCAAACCTCTGAACTTAACGGGAGGAGCTACTGAGGACCATTTTCTATGTTTGCTGCCCGAGATCATGTCTAAGTACATATATATATAAGTTAGGCATAGTAAAATCTCTTGATATGCTATTTTTGGGGGTAGCTATGGAAACGGCCGCCATCTTGAAAATAAAAAATGAATTTCAAATCCCTAAGGCTTTCTTACCAAATTTGGTGAAAGTATACCTGAACTAGACCTTATCAGCATAACAGTGAGCTTGTTTAAATAAGTGCAAAAGAAAAAAAAAAGAGAATTTTCCCAAAGTATAAAAAACTTTTTTTCAAAAATTAGTTGCGTAATCGCTTTCCAGTGGAAAAGGGTTTTTTTTTTGTTGCAAATATCTCTCTGTTACATCGATGGCAGCCTTGCCATTTATGTTTCCTGAAAGTTTCATGTCAAAAGGATGAAAGCTAAGGAAGGAGTAGGAAAAACACTGCAGAAAAATGACATTTTGCGAAAAATGACAATTATTGTCAAAATTCACCATATTAACCCACCCTCATGTTTTCAAAGGCAATTTACGAGGAGAATAAAGACTTTCTCAATTCTCTCCATGCTATTTTTAGACAAAGTACTAGTTGATCTTCAAAACTCAACCAACATCTCTATGTGCACAGCCTGACTCAAAATCAACAAAATCAAGGGTCGCTGCCCTTAATGTTCACTTCTGATCTGTGGGTGGTTGGTGGGTTGTCTGGTGTTGTTTGCTCCTTCTCTCCTAACAAATATCTATCGCCCTTTTCTATTTTCCTCGTTTTTTTGTGTTTGTTACTCTCTTGTAACACCACTAATCTTCATAATCTTCAGCACTTCTGATACAATGGGATGAAAAGCCCCAAAGAATTGTTGAAACTGCTGAAGTTCAGAAACAGCCTTTCGTCGCTTCAGAACTATTTTTCCAAAGTGTGCTTTAATAAAGAGTGCTCTTTGGACAAAATAGTATGTACACTGTGTGGAAAAAAATAGTATGTACACTTTGGACAAAATTGTATGTACACTTTAGACAAAATTGTATGTACACTTTGGACAAAATAGTATGTACACTTTGGACAAAATAGTATGTACACTTTGGACAAAATAGTATGTACACTTTGGACAAAATAGTATGTACACTTTGGACAAAATAGTATGTACACTGTGGACAAAATAGTTCTGAGCCCCGTTTATCATGTATCATTTGAGACAACAAACATGCAGTCGATATTGTCCAAAATGACAATCCACTGTCAAGGAGGAGGAGTGAAGTGGTTGTTTTAGACTGGTGGATGTCGTTATGATATTATAAAAACTCAAAAGAAGGGGGTGATTGAGGGGAGGGGGTGAGGTGAGAAGTGTTTATGTGTACAAGTGATTGTACAGGTTTTACTGTACTTGTGTTTAGAAGCCTCTTGTTTTTCTCAGGCTCTGATTTGTGGCTTTTGAAGAATGTTGGACTCTGACAGAGTTGTAATGCGCATAGAGTATACCGTTGAGCGTGGATATGCACTATATAAATGCAGTTATTATTGTTGTCATATTATTGAGATTACTATACTGCTTTTATATAATAAATGTTAATACATTTGTGAGGTGAAATCAGGCGCTTGTCAAAACAATAAAATCAAAGAAACCGGCATATTTCTAGGCGTTGGGTGATTTTTTTCGAATTTTCTTTCTTTGGCTCAGCACTCTGTATGTCCTGTTAAAAACACATTTCTGTGTGGATGTTTCTGTAAAACGTTGATTCAAGATGCAAAAAAAAATCTAAATTTCCAGTTTCCAAGGACTTTCAAGCTTTGCAAATCTTTAAACTTAGGCGGCCATTTACTCGCTAATTTTTCCTCTCAGACCAGGTGACCCCGACCTCCTTCTATTGCAAATATCTTGACTTCTATTCAAGTTAGATGGGTATTTTTTTCCCCAAAAGCAAAACAAATGAACAAGCGGAAGACAATTTAAACTTAGTGGAATGTTGGCATGACTGTGCTGCTATGAAAGGGAGAAAGCTTACGCCATTTTGTTCTTATCAACATAAAGTCTGTGCTCCTCTACGGCTGCGAAACTTGGAAGACAGCAAAGACAGTACTGAATAAAGTCTAGATTTTCATCAACAGATGTGTGAGGAGTATTCTAAAAATTAAGTGGCAGGATAGAATAAAAAGTGAAGAGCTGTAGGAATGGACAGAACGAAAGGATATAGAAATAGAAATAGAACTAATAAAGTGGCGATGGATGGGACACACCTTTAAGAAAGCCCAATGGAAACATTACAAGACAGTCACTGCAGTGGAACCCACTTGGAGCATGAGGCAGGGGTAGGCCACGGGGAACATGGAGGAGATGAGTGGAAAGGGACATGAGAGAGATGAAGCTCACTTGGAACGAGCTGGGAAGGATGGCACAGGACAGAGATAAATGGAAGGAGCTTGTATGTGGCCTATACCCTGCCAGGGGTGAAAGGCATTGATGATGATGATGATTTTCTTCTTATACGCAGGTACCTGGCCCGATCATTTCACTTCATCTTACCGTATTTCCCTACGGGCACCATGGAGAGGGTGGACCAAGAGGGACAGATTGCCACTGCCAAGGTCAGGAAAATTGACTCTTTTTTTTTTTCTTTACTGTCCCCACACACTTTTTCCTTTGAAAGTGGCTATTCTCACCCGCCCGGAAGTTCTCGCAAGATCAACTCCTCCCCTCTTCTTTCTCTCTCTCTGTCTCTTTCTGAATACTGTCTATCGGTGTGGACGATCAAATTGACCAAAACAAAGTTAAAAAATAGTGTTAAAACACAAAAGTAAATTAATTTGGTTGTCTACATAGATGCTACGGCTATTTAACTTTTCGAATCGCTCCTCCTCTCTCTCTTTCTCTCTCTCTCCACTGCCCACAGACAAAATTGTACGCTTTTAGTAGGCTATAATGGAACGTTTGTTCACGGCACAGAATTCTACAATTTTTCTGTTACCACGGTGTAGAAATTCTGTGGTTTAGGGTGAACGCAAAATTTGGTGAACGCGCACCGGGTGAGAATAGCCACAAGACTCGCCTGCACTATTCTCACTCCGGGTGAGAATAGAGGTGGCCTTTTCCTTTTATGTGTATAATGATCGTTTCTTCTTTTATTGTTGTTGTGAGTACCTTTTTGGTAGGCTACTTCTTACACCCACCGCTCTCCTCTTTTTGTTTGCCTTTTTAACTTTCTTGCATTATTTGCTGTTGGTTTTTCTTTTTGCTCGCTGTGTCATCATTTTAAAAAGTATTTGGAATGTTTGCATTGTCCATTTTCTTCTTCTTTTTTTTCGTTTGGGGTGAAGGTACTTATAATTTTAATTACCGTTTTTTGACATTTAAAAATTATTTTAGATATCGATTATATCAATTTACATTTTCTGTCTTGAACATTTGCTTTATTGTTGAATAACCTTTTTTGGTTGGAATTTTTGTAATGTCTATTAAAATTTTTCTGCTCTTTTGTGTTATGAATTCTCCAAATAAAAAAAAAAACTTGGAATGTTGGGCATTTTGACTTTTCCTTGTTATTTAACAGTTTTAGATGTTTTTAATGATAGCTTACCGTTGCTGTTCTTTACAATGTTATAGATGTTGATTTTCCATTGTTGTTTGGCATGTTGGTTTTGTATTTATACTGTTACTGTTAAGTAAGTTTTTTAAAGATTTTTACGGGGGCTCTCGTGGCATAGAGGTTAAGGTTTTCGCCTCTCATTCAAAGGTCCCGGGTTCGAATCCGGGTAGCAACAGATAATATTTTTTTGTCTAAAATTGTCTCCTTTCACCTCCTTTCCTGCTCTCTAACATTGTTCTGTTGTCTGCTTTCATCTCCTCTTCCTGTCCCCACCCCCTCACCTCCTTTGCCCCTTCCTTTGTGCTCCTGACTCTTTCTGCAGCCTTTCTACTCCTACTCCTTGGCTCCTTCTTACCTCTGTCTTTCAGCCACACCCCTGATCTTCTGGTAGGAAAGATGTACACCTAGCCTTATCGGACAAGGGCGAAAAATTTCAGAGGTCCAGTGTGCAAGTTGCGCATGTTAAAGATCCCTTGGTGGTCTAAAATCAATAAAAATAGGTTTCGGCCGCCACCCAGGCAAAATTCAAAATTTCCTACCAACTGAAAAAGTTTAATGTGATCCACGCGCTCTAATGACCTTATGCAGTTGTGAGCTCTTTAAAACACTTACAAAAAAAAAAAAAGTTTTTACAACTAGAACTGAGTGCCACCCGTAATGGTAACTTCGTTTATGTTTTTCCTTGTTTTTTTTAACTTACAAGTTTTACTTTCCTTTTAATGTCACGATACTGCTTTTTAATTTGGAATGTAGGGATATGCTCAACCTTACTAGTTGGTATGATGGAAAATGGAATAGACAATACCGCTGCTGTCATTTTAAAAAGTACGTTAAATGCAGTTTTTACAATTTTACAGGAGAGCCAAAAAAAAAAAAAATTCCAATGTTATAACCAAGAAAACAAACTCTTTGCAAATATTCCGAGTCAGTATTCCTAAGAATACAATTTTGATAATAACTTTCAAAATTATCTTGAAAGAAAATATTGTTTTCTTGGAAACAGCATTCAGATTTTTGTCTCTCCTGTAAAATTGTAAAATTTGCTTATACTGTACTTTTAAAAATGATGCCAGAATAATGCTAGATGCAACAGATATCTAACAGGGGTTTTCACCATCTCCATCATCATCAACATCATAATCATCAGTATTGAGAAATGGAGTGAGCGAGTAAGTGATAGGGATAGAGAGGGAAAAACAGAGAGAGGGATATTTATATATATGTGTATTTTGTGTCATGGATGCTAGTGAAAACACACTGTCAATTTCATTCAACAGAGAAAGAAGCCTTAAAATTTATCCTTTGCCAACTTCATGTCATCGTAGTCATGATCATTTTGTTGTCATATCATGGTTGAAAATATACTTTTTACCTTTTATCTGTTTCCTCTTCATTGTAAGCAAAAATACTTTTTTTTAAATGTAGCATTTGGTACTTTCTTTTCCTTGTCCACTTCAGTATTTCAAGTCACTGACATCTTGTGTTCACATAAGAAAATATAACTTTATGTTGTATGGCGCCTCTTTAGACACAGAAGGATATTTTAATGGTTGAACATTTTTTTTCTTCTCAGACAGTTTAATTTTCTAGTAAAAAATAGTGCAAAAAAAATTCATCCTGCTCATGAAGATTTTAAACTCCCACTCTGCTGGTAGCTTTTGTGTTTGTAGGTGATGGGCTGTCTGGTGTGGCCGGCTCCTTTTACTTCTCCCCTCGGTTGCTTTTGACACTTTCCTTTTCCGTTCCTTGGAAAATGTTGCAGTTTTCTCGCTGACTTATTGCAAGTTTCTGCTTAACATTAACTGCAAATGACACAACAACTAAAACAGCAACGTTTGCGAGAGAACACGAGTGATTAGCAGGTGCTCTTATGTGGTTTGCTCCTTCTTTCCTATCAAGCATCTTGCGTCTTTACCTTTCCTTCTTTTATTTGCATGTTACTCATAAGTACCATCTCTAATTTTTGGCGCCTATTTGTCCGATTTGTGTTACAAGTGCCGTAAAACTCTTTCCAAAACCAGCATCGACTGCAAAAATTACTATAACAATAACACTGACAGACTAAACCCTTCTAACGGCAACAGCTGCATTCCCACAATCATCAGTTCCAACAAGAACAACAGCGCAACAACAGCAAAAACACCGGTGTATTAACCAGCAACAGCAGCATACAACAAGACAACCACAGCAACAGCCATGACAAACGGTACCACTACTTTTGACAACAAGAACCACAACAACAATATCACCAAAGAAGAAAATGAATAACATAATACCTTGTCACTACTACTTTCACCTCCATCACCACCACCACTACCAACAACAACAATAACAACAACAGCAGAAACAACAACAGTATTGGAGGCAATGGCTCTGGTGAGAATTCATTTTGTAAGGTCGCAGATGTGTGCAAGAGAGAAATTTTTGCTGATCCCGTGTTCCTTCTAAATCCGTCGGCCAGGCATGCACATATGCGCACACACACACACACACGCACACACACACACAAGCACACACACACTCACACACACACACACCCATAAACAAACAAACAACAACAGCAACATAGATTTCATATGAACCAAGAGGAGACTTGTTCTTTATTTGACGAACTGTGTGAAGATCTTCTCATCTGTCAGTCCTGGTGACATACTGTCTTACTATTCCTCAAGACTGCTCATGCTGTCCTGGTGGGTGGTTGGAGGGCGCAAGAGGTAGGTCCTACTTCTTCCTCCTTCTTCTTTTATTTTCTTCTTTGGTCTCATTTATGTTCTACACTGGCAAACAATATTTTGTCAGCATGTTTTTATTTTTTGTGAGATTTTGTTTTTTTCCACTTGTTTGAATCCAATGTCAAGCACTGATTTTTTATTTTTTAAATATTTTTTTTGCTTGACTTACAGTTTTTGGAAAGTTCTGTTATTCTTCGAATTCACCATGTTTCATTATTTCTCCAAAACTGTGGACTTGATGATGACTGTTTAGATATCGCCATTTTTTATTCTTTTATTCTCTGGATTCAATTTGTTTTCCTATTTCTTCAAGACTGTTGACTGTTTAGATACCAGCATATGTGGTGCATTGATTTCTTTCTTCATCTTGCATGCAAAAGACAAGAGTTCAATGTGTGTGTGGGGATGACAATTTTTTTACTGTTTCAATTTTCCTCCTAGGAGGAGCAGAGTGTTTGCTTGATTTCATTGTCCCTATGGGCCTTATCTGTGGGTGGTTGCAGGGTGCACTAGTGTGTTCTGGTTCTGTACCAGTATCTGTTTACTTCAGGATTTAATATAATGGCTGTCATGCTGCTGATATGCCAAAAGAATCGATTCCAATTAATATTTGGTATCTCTTCACTGGCACTTTTTAAATAATAGTATTTAAAAATGTAAAAAGAAAAAACCCTCACCTGTTACTGGAATCTCAAGTAGTGAATGTGGGTTATCACTTTTCTGGCACTTTTTAGATAATAGTAGTGTACAAAGTTTGTGAAAAAAAACAACCTTACCTGTTACCACTGGCCCAAGAACTTTATGGGTGGATGATGCCATTTGTAGATTTAAATTCTTTTTTTCTCTCAGCTGTTTTTTCGCTACCTTAGAATTACAAAGTTCTATCTGACAATTTGGGCCATTTTGAGTTACTAAGACCATGAAGTCAGAAACCAAATATTATATCTGCTCTATCAAAATCTTAAGATTATTCGAATTCGTTATCAAGGTATTCAAAGAAATGCATTCGAAATAGCTTGACATGTTGTGAAACTCAAAATTTTTAACGTCAAATTTCGCAAAACTAGGTACTGAGCAGATAGAACTATGTAATTCTGAGGTAGAGATTTGTTCGTGCTGTTAATCCCTACACTACTGAGCCTTAAACTGTCTTTCGCTCTTTGGTAATGCTGAATCGAGAAGCTGACCTTGGGTGAAAAAGTGGATATCTGCTTTTCATTAATTTTGATGTTTTGTACATGTCAGTTGGCATAAAAAATGTCATTTTCTTTTCTCTTGTTCAAGTCCAGAAATGATTGTTCATGTAGATAGTTGGCGATTGCTCCTTCTTTTCTATCAAACATCTATTGTCTTTACCTCCCCTCTTTCTTTTTTGTGTGTTTTACTCTCTTGTTATTCATCTAATCTTCAGCCTTTATATGACCTTATTGTGTTGCAAGTGCCATAAAAAATAAAACTTACAAAAACTGAATCAAGAAGCTGACCTTGGAAAGTGCATTTCTGTTTTTCTTTAATGGGAATGTTTCCGACATTTTTATAAGCATTAACATTCCTTTTTTTTTTTTCCTCTCGAACGAGCCATGAAACTTTAACTGTAAAGTCTTTCTATCAACCAGCAAGTGATGATGGCTCATTTTTGTTGTTTTGTTTGGTTTTAAATTTCAGACTGTGGCTGCCCTGATTTCCAAACAACTGTCTCATCGTAACTAAAGTCTTTCTATCAATCAGCAAGTGATGATGGCTTTTGTTTTGTTTTGTTTTTAATTTCAGACTCTGGCAACTTTGATCTCCAACATCCCTCTCAGTGCTCGAGGCCCAGCACAGATCATTATATATGATATTCATGTCCTGCAGGAGCGATTTTATTTCTCTGACAATGTCATACCCAGGTGAGGATAATTTTGTTTGCCTTATTTTGACCGGTTCAGTGTCAGGTCTATCTGTTGGTAATGATCTTAATTGAGTTGATTGGAATGCAAAGAAACACTTACATTTATGATCTGTTGGTAGAGTGCTGTTTCAGTTTGTTCCTTCTTTTGACCCATTCAATGTCGAGTCTATCCTTAAGTAATTATCGAAATTGAGTTGATTGGGATGTAAAAAACACCTACATTTAAAATCTGTTGATTAAGTGAATGGAAATCGAGTTATTTGCGATTGAAGGGGGGGGGGTGCATGGTTTCAGAGGTAAAATAAGCGAGAAAAGGGCCGCCAAAGTTTGGTGACTTCCAAAGCATGAGAGTCCTTGGAAACTGCAAATTTACATTTTTGTGCCTTTAATCAAAGGTTTTTGTTAAAATCCACAGAGTAATGTGTTTTTAAACAGACATGAAAGTGTTGAGTCAAAGAAACAAAATTTTGATAAAAATTGCCATATGGGTCAAGAAAATGCCAGTTTGTTTGATTTCATTATTATGACGAGCGCCTTTATTTCACTAAGATGCAACAAAATTAGTGAAGGATACACCTCATCACTTCCTCCATCACAGACTAGAAACGGCGATCCCGCTTCTCCAACGAGCCATCTCAGAGCAGCCGGACCCGGACAGCATCATGATTGCTTTCCCCGATGACGGGGCTTACAAGCGCTTTCATCAGTTCTTCCCCGACGACTCGAAGCTGATTGTGTGTGTGAAGAAGCGCGAAGGGAAGAACAGAGTCGTCACAATCAAAGATGGTGAGTAGCCAGGCGGTGATGGAGACCGGTCATCCAGAAGGGATGGTATGAGACATCATGGAAAAGTATTGTAGTAATTGCAACTTTCTCTGGGTGAAATTTTATTAAATGATTTTTCAGAGAATCTAGATTATTTGTTGATATTATAGGCACTTCCGTATGAGTTTGATGTCATGTTGCTTTTGGGAGGTGTTTACGCTTCCTGCCTGCCTGAGAATCCTTTATCCCTGACCTTTTATAGCCTCTCAGCAGTGTCTGTAATATATGTTTAGGCTATTTGCCTTGTACTTAATACATATAATAAATTTGATTCCGTAATTAGGAAGATATTTTTGTATTGTGTACTTTTATCTTTCTGCATGTCTGTAATGTGTACTGTGGCAGTCAGCATTTTCTTATTTCTTTTGTCTTTCCTTGTCCAGGTCACCCTAAGGGGAAGCGCGTCATCATCGTGGATGACCTGGTGCAGTCTGGCGGGACGCTCAGAGAGTGTGGCAAGGTACGCCGCTATTTGCAGTCTATTTTATACTATACTACTATAGTTGTGAGGGTGTGGGGACGGAGCGGTTAGTGCGCTCGTCTCGGAAGCGGAAAGTCCAGATTCTAGCTTCGATTCGGACACAGATTTTTTTCACCCCCTCCTACCCATCCAGCAGTAATGTGGGT